ATTAAATTATTATGTATTTAGTGAGGGCTTCAAAAAAAAGTTTCTTGTATTTGGATTAAAGTTCAGTCTAATATATATGAATTCGTAGACATAAATAATTCTTTTATATTAATAAATAAAATATCATTGAGTTTAATTAAAGTAGTGTTAATATAAATTGAGTTTATTATTAAAAACAATATATTTGTTTTATTTAGTTCCTTAATTTTAGGCTAGGATATATATTTAATAAAATCAAATTAGGTATAAGTATATATAATAGGAAATCTAGTTAAATGTTATTGTTCAATCTAGACTATTTGTAATTATATAATAATTATTATTATTTTTAATTATATTGATGAGTAAATCCTAATTTAATTGATCATTTCTTTCAGTATTTTAAATTGATTATTCTGATTATGGAATTCATAAATTTAGACCCTTTATGAAATATTTGTTTTAGATTGGTTTAGAATGTTGAGCTAGAGTCGCTATTTATTAAGGAGTGTGAGTAGGTTTAATGTTAAGGGTTGGTGAAATATTAGAGAATATTCGAGAGGATAAATCTCAATAGATTTTATAAGTTACAAACAATTATAGATTTTTGGTTGACAAATATTTTGTTGATAGATTTAGAAATGACTTCAGGAATTAATTTGTCAATCTTTTATGACTGATAATATATCAATACTGTTAAACCAATTTTTATTTTGGGCATTTATTGCAAGTTTCTTTTAGAAAATATAGAAATGGATATTGCTTAGAATTTAAATTTGAACCGAATCAAATTCAAGTTTGGTTATTCAAATCAGTTATAACAGTTAGCTTTTTTTTTGGGTCAAACTACGATTTCATTGCATAGAAAAGTTTATCCTCCCCCTAACAGAGAGGAGTTTACAGACATGAGTTCTGACTTTGCCACTGAGTCAGCCTCCACATTACATAAACGAGGAATGTGATAAAACGAACAAGCCCTCAAGTGGCTACTGAAAAAGAAGATATCGATGAGAATATTGTTTAGGTCACGCCTTGACCCCTTAGTGTTGATCAGCTTCACCAGGACCTGTGAATCGGAAAGGACACAGAGTGAATTAGAATAGGAGATGTAAGCCTGCAACACTACTTCCCGAACTGCTAAGGCCTCTGCAATCAGAGCCGAGTCAACACACACACGAGAGCTCTTAATGCATCGATGATTGACCTGCTCCCTCCCCTTGAAAACACCTGCAATACCACAATTTCGAGTCGTTGCATCCCAAGCGGCATCTACAAAACAAACAAGGTCTTCACGTTCCACATCTGAGGGGAGTGGAGGTCTCTTCTATGAAATATGAAAGTTGCTTGGCGAAGGGGTAACCGTCGACTGCGCCGCTTGCCACTCCTTCGCATCGACGATCGCCTGCGAGATCACCTCCTGCGCTACGACGATCCTGTTATCAAACACAAGCAAGTTCCGAGACTTCCATAGTCGCCATAAAATCCAAGGCCAAACCGGGTTTGTGAGACCCAGAGGCGGAAGGTTTTGGTAAAGAAAACCAATCTTCATGAAGTGACATAAAGAAGGTATTGACACCTGAGGTACTGGTGTGATAGGAGCCAACGTCCACACCTCCTAAGCGTAAGGGCATAGGAGGAAGGCGTGGAGGTCATCTTCGATCCCACCGCAACGTTTACATGGGAAAGGTGGGATTCCTCTAGAGTCCAGATTTGCACTTACCGGAATAACTTTCTTCATTAGTAACCAAAGGAAATCCTTGATCTTGGGGGACGCTTTGATAGACCAGATACATTTTGCCAATCCATCGATTGCTCATTCTCAGCGGTTGCTCATTCTCAGCGGTTCTAGAGGTACTTGCCAGATTATACCCTGATTTCGTAGTGTACTCCCCCGATATGTCATGCAACCAGATGCGCCTATCCTGGTGAGACACTGAACTAGTGATCAAACTGTAAACCTGGGAATCATACTGAGGAAGGTGGAGTTGGATCGAATCCTTGCACCGCGTATTAGAGAGTGAGCATAACAGGTCGCTCACTTTCAACTGAGCATAATTGATGTTTGGTGGTCCCATGGGAAGAAGGGGCGAGGTGAGGGAGAGCCAGGGATCGGAACATACATGGATGGACTCCCCATTTCCCACCTCCCACCCCATTCCTAGTTTCAAGATTTCCCGTCCCGCTAAGACACTCCTCCAGCCATGGGAGGCTGTCGTGGTAGCAGAGCATTCCCAAAAGGAGGACTCCTTGCAATACTTTCCGAGTAACACCTGAGCAACAAGGGAGGAAGGATTACGCATCAACCTCCATCCAATCTTTGCGAGCATTGCATCATTAAAGGTTTCTAGATCACGGAAACCGAGCCCACCACCAAATTTCGGTAAAGTAAGAGTGGACCAAGCTACCCAGCACATCTTCTTTTTGTCGGGGTTGGCATCCCACCAAAAGCGGGTTAATAACGACTGAATTTGCTTGCAGAGAGAAGCCGGAAGTTTGAAGCATGACATTGCGTAAGGCATTGCAGCCAGCACCGCCTTAAGGAGGACTTGCTTCTCGGCTCCCGACAAGAATTTGGTGGACCAGTGTCTGATCTTCTGCTTAATTCTATCCACAATGGAGGCAAAAATATCCCTCTTTTTCCTACCAAACAACTCAGGAAGGCCCAGGTACTTCCCGATACCTCCCTCGGCATCGATGTTCAGCTCTCTTGTCACCCTGTCCTTTACCTACGCAGGTGTCTTTGCCGAAAAGGTGATAGAGGATTTTGAGTAGTTAATTTTCTGGCCGGAAACATCTTCGTAGGAGGTGATAATTTTCTTCAAGGCGGCCAAACAAGATGTACTCGATTTGCAGGAAAACATCATGTCATCCGCAAAGAGGAGGTGTGTGATTAGCGGACATCCTCTAGCCACTCGGATACCCCTTAGCAGCCCCTGTTTCTGCGCTCTTTCGCATAGGCCAGCCAGCAACTCGGTACAGAGGATAAAGAGATAATGGGAGAGTGGGTCGCCTTGACGGAGGCCTCTCGAAGGTACGATTATCTCCCTTGGCGCCCCATTGATGAGGAAAGAATAAGATACGGTTTCCACACACGCCATAATCCATGATATCCATGTATCGTCAAAGCTAAATTTGGACAGAACCGCACGTAGAAAGCCCCATTCGATCCGATCATAGGCTTTACTCATGTCGGTTTTAACGGCCATAGGGCAGTACCTCTTGGCCTCAAAAGTGCGAAGGAAGTGGAGGGTCTCATGAGTGATGAGGACGTTGTCCGTGATGGCTCTTCCCGCCACAAAGGCTGATTGAGTATTAGAGATCAGGTGGGGAAGTAGCGGTTTCAGCCTCCTTGTGAGGATTTTGGCGATGATTTTGTAGTGGGAGTTACACAAAGCTATGGGTCTATAATCAGCCACCTTCCGGGGAGCGGTTATCTTTGGAATCAGCCATATATGGGTTTCATTCTGCTGTGGATGCAGGATGCTAGTCTCGAAGAAGGACCGAATATCTTGGGAAACATCATCGCCAACAATATGCCAATAAGCCTGGTAGAATTTGGCCGAGAACCCGTCCGGACCCGGAGCTTTACCTCCGTTAATAGAAAAAGCTGCATCACGTATTTCATCTCCCGTGGGTACACTAGTCAAGAAGGAGTTCATCTCTGGGGAGACCTTCCTCTCAATAATGGTGTCCACGATATCGAAGTTCTGGTTGCCATTTGTGGTGAACATGTCTCTGTAAAAAGAAGCCACTACTCCTGCTATTTGCTCTTCTTTGACAAACTCCGTTCCCGAGCTATCCTCAATTACGGAAAAGGTATTTTGCATTCGTCTTTGTCTTGTGGCCGCGTGAAAGAAACTGGTGTTCCGGTCCCCATTACGTAGCCACTGAATCCTGCTTCTCTGTCTCCAAAACGCTTCCTCTTCCTTATAAGCGTCGTTAAGGATCTTCTGTACTGCCTCAATGCGAGGCAAGTCCGGAGTTGCTGCCGATAAGAGAGCATCTAAGGTGATTCGCGATTCCTCAATGAGTTGGTTGCTCTTTCGGTTCCTTTCTTTAGTCCATAGAATAATTCCTTTACGACAGGCATTGAGTTTATCAATAACAGAGCGCAATGGACCATGATTCCAAGAGTCATCTACAATCTTGGTCACTTCGTCATTCTCCGTCAGGGTCCTGTTAAACCTGAATAAACCTCTCCGCCTGGTCCTCGTATTATTGAAGAAGGTGAGAAGGGGTCTGTGATCACTGCCCTCAAATCGGAGGTAATTACTTCGTCCCATAGGGAAGGCCTCTGACTAGTTGCAATTGGCCATTGACCGATCAAGGTGGGAACGGATGAAGTGGCAGTAGCGCGTTCTTCTCCAAGACAGGTGGTTGCCGGAGTGCTTCAAGTCCCACAGTCCGTTATCAGAGACAAAGGAGCGAAAGGCCGTGAAGAAGCCTTCCCACCTCTCCGGGCCTCCTTGCTTCTCTTCATTGTTGAGTATGTTGTTGAAATCTCCCGTCAGGAGCCATGGGACATCCCTTCCATTTCCAATCTGAGATACATTGTCCCAAAAGAGAGATCTGTTACCAACTTCAGGGGCACCATAAATGAAAGAAACAAGAGATGACGTCCCTTTGAATTTTATTTCTGCATCAATAATATTTGGGGATGCAGTGAGAACATCCAACATTACAGAATCTCTCCAAAATAAAGACAAGCCCCCACTCAACCCTTCTGGCGGGATAGAAAAGTAGTTAACAAAATTTAAAGACTGGAGCTTCTCTTTGATAAAGGTGTCTTGCTATTTCGTCTCCATGAGGAACAAGATATCCGGACCGAAGTTACGGTTGATATCCTTGATTCGTCGAATTGTCGAGGGGTTCCCCAGCCCTTGACAACTCCAGCTGAAAATTACTAAGGAAGCAGAGGAAGAGGAGGCCGAAAATCCCCCTCCTTGCTCCTAGTTGTCGGTATTGTCACCGTATTAGCGCTCCTAGTACGTGGTGCTGCCCTGCTGGTACCAGCCTGCTCCTTATCCAAGCACAGATTCTTGCGAGGTGGGTTTAGTGATCTAGCCAAGCACAGATTGACCCTTTTCAGATTAACACCAGTGCAGGGGCTCCGAGGAACCCGTTTTGCAGCTTGAGCTTTGGTGGTCCTGCGCTTTGCCGCGGTTTTAGTAGCAGTCCCTTTAGTGGCCAATTTACGTTCCGATCCCTCAGCTGTAGCACTCCGCGCTCCCAGCCTCAGAGAGAGATGAATTATGTCCGTCGCAAGATCACCAGTGGAGTCTTCCCTTGTTGCGATTCTCTCGGGACCAGAGTTAACAATAATATCAGGGACTTCAGTAGAGGTCCTTGAAATTCTGCGGGGCAGGAGCTCTTCATTCTCATTCCCTAGGTACTGGATCTCCACATCCTGGAGGCGCCCTGACTCCAAGCTCGAGGTACCTCCTATTCGAGCGAGCGCCAGAGGACGAGGTTCCGAGATACGTGTCAGAGCCGACCTCCTTTCCTTAGAGTTACCGCTATTACCAGCAGAGTTTTGAGTGTTCTGATCAGGAAGAAATGGGGACTGAGGCTCCGAGATACGTTCCAGCGCTGGTCTTCTTTCCTTCGAATTACCGCTATTACCAGCGGATGTTTGTAGTTGATCGACTGGATGAGAGGGGGGGGTGTGAGATGCCTGAGACCAGTTCTGATCCCTTTTCATTCCATCCTGCTCAACTCCAGAGAGTCTTGCATTCAGATTACGACCCAAAGAGGCCTACACACCCAAAACAGGGCGTCTTCCAGAAGAAACTTCACGAGCACGGTATACCAAATCAGAACGGTGCCTCAAGGAGTCTGAGGAATAATTTGATCTCCGTCCAGAGTAGCGGTCACGAGAATCCTCCGAGTAGCGAGCAGCACGATACCCTGAAGAGGGGTTTTCAGAACGTCGAGATGCAAAACGGGCTGAGCCCCTTCGGTGGCCATCATCGGAGATGTGGCGTCGAGGTTCGGAAGGACGAAGATCAGAGGGTCTAACGTACCCTCTCCTTTCATCGTGCTTTCTCTTGTCCGCTTCTATCCTCATGAGTGCATTACGTTGGTTGATTCCAAGTTTATAGGGTTCCACCTTTTGAGCTCCATTCCTGAGCAAGGGGCAGTCATCTTTTTCGTGGAGGAGAGAATGGTTATAACAGTTAGCTAATTTCATGTGCTCAATGTGTTTTTGACATATATTCGTAGAATGCATAAATAATGATCCTTAAAATATTGTAATATGTTAATGATCTATAAGAAACTAAATAATGATCTTTAAAATATTGCAGTGTAATAGAATTTGATCATATACACTATTAAAATAGAGTCATTCTTTTTATCTACTGATACAAGTTTTCAATAAAATTTGGTCTCTTTCTAGAGTGTTACAAATAATACAAGTCATATAATTAATTGAACCGCATTACTTAAACTAAATCGATGGTTATTTATGGGATATAGTCTTGGGCTTACTTTTGTTTTTAGAACAAATTATATGGTTTGGTTTTTGGGCTTATTATTAAGGAAAAAACTCCAAAACATTGAATAAACTTTCCACATTAATGGATAAAAAAAATCAGTTATTATTTTCAAGCACAAAAGGTATTTAATATTTTTAAACAAAACAAAATTGTCTATTATTAATCATTTATTAAATCATGTACTTTAAAACATGTTAATGTATTTTTTTTATTTTAAATAACAATCATTTTTTTTTGATAAATTTCAATGGTAACTTTTAAATAATTTATTTTTTTATTTCTCTTAAATAATTTACTGATTTAAAAAAAATTGTAAAGCAAAACTAAAAACCAAATCTAAAAACTAAAATCCAAAACCAAAAACTGAAAAAAACAGGTTATATTTTTTTGCTTTTATTTATTTACAAATAAACTATTGCAAATTTCTTTAAAAAAAATTTTGTCATCTTTTCAGTTTTAAATTAGATGTTCGATTATTCAGGATTTGTTTATTAGTAATATCAGTTCAAACTAACTCAGCGGGTCTAAAAATTTAAAACTCAAACCAAAAGCTCAAAATCAAAAATAGAAACTTAAAAAATAAAAAACCAAAATCTAAAACAAAATCTAAAAATAAAAACTAAAACTAAAAACTAATGAATAACAATCATCACCACAAATTTTGGTAAACTGATTTTATCCCAAAACATTCTTTAAATTAAGATAAAACCCAATTACATAAATTTTTAATCATAAAAAATTTCCGCGCTTGAAAGGCGCGGGTCAAAATCTAGTCTAATCTATTAAAATAGAGACATTCTTTTTATCTACTGATACAAGTTGTTATTTAAATTTGGACATTTTCTAGAGTGTTACAAATAATATAACTCTTATAATTGATTGAACCGCATTACTTAAATTAAACCAACACAATTAATGTAACATGGCGACCTTAATGTAAACTATCTACAAAATACGGCAGATATCTATATGTCTACCAAAAACACATATTTTCTCCTACAAATATGGAATGTTCTAAAAGAATATATATTATCAAAATATGGAATATGGAAATCTACTAATTATATTAATGTGGAAATCGTAATATACCATTTAGCATCTTAACAATTCCTTAAAAAATGGAAATTTAATAATTATATGAAACCAATGGAAATATACACTATTAAAATAGAAGCTTTCTTTTTATCTACTAATACAAATTGTCATTTAAATTTGGACTCTTTCTAGAGTGTTACAACAAACCATATAGGTAAATGAACTGCATTACTTAAATTAAACCGATGGTTATTTATGGGATATAGTCTTGGGCAGCTTACTTTTATTTTTAGGACAAATTATATGGTTTTATTTTTAGGCTGATTATTAAGGAAAAACTTCAAAAAACATTGAATAAAATTTCTATCTTAATGGATCAAAAAATCAATTATTATTTTCAGGCCCAAATGTATTTAATATTTTTAACAAAACAAAATTGTCTATTATTAATCATTTATTTAAATCATGTACTTTAAAACATGTTATTGTATTTTTTATTTTAAATAACAATCACTTTTTTGATAAATTTCAATGGTAGCTTTTAAATAATTTCCTCTTTTATTTTTCTTAAATAATTTACTGATTTAAAAAAAATAAATGTAAAGCAAAACCAAATACCAATTCTAAAAACTAAAACCCAAAACCAAAAGCTCAAAATGCATTGTTCTGGATAACATATTGTTATAGTTTTTGCTTTTGTTTATTTACAAAATAACTATTGCAAATTTTTTTTTAAAATTTTTTGTCATCTTTTCAGTTTTAAATTAGATGTTCGATTATTTGAAATTTGTTTGTTGGTAATATCAGTTCAAACTAACTCAGCGGATCTAAAAATTAAAAACTCAAACAAAATCTGAAAATCAAAAATAGAAACTTAAAAACTAAAAACTAAAATCTAAAATCTAAAATCTAAAAATAAAAACTGAAACTAAAAAACTAATGAAAAATATCGTCACCACAAATTTTGATAAACTGATTTTATACTAAAACATTCTTTAAATTAAGACATAACCCAATTATATAAACTTTAGTTATAAAAAATTTCAGCGTTTTCAAGCGCGGTTCAAAATCTAGTGTGTAACATTATAGAAAGCTTAAGCTTGAAATTGAAGATTGTAATCTTGTATGGTTAATATACAATGTTCAGACCTCAGAGTTTAAATCTGCAGTCTTAAAAAAAAAGTGACGAAGCTTAGAAACATAGACCATACTCACGTTGAATTTGATTGATGACAGTCCCAGTGGTTTAATATTGTCTAATCTTCTGTGGTTCATGATACTTTGTCCGGAGTTCAAGCTCTATTCCTATAAATGCATGGCTAACAGATATAGTAGTCCAGCTAATACATATGAAGCTTATTTTATTAGATAATATGATTGTTATATAACACTGATGTTTATAAGATAGGGTGGTTATAACCTTTCTTCATCTGTATTGATGTACAATATGCAGGTTTCATAAAGGAGTGAAGGTTAGAAAAAAAAATTGAATACTGTTAATGTAGCTGATGTGATTTTTAATAGTATTCATGTTGTAGATCTATTAGAGCATGTCCAACGTAGGTATTACGGAGTCATTAGTTGTGTACCCACGTGTAAGAAATTATTAAAAAAAGATGTAGGTCCTATTTTTCTTGGTTTTGGAGCCAACAAACATTCTTTAAATCCGTCTGTAAGGATCGATTGGCCCTCAAGTATGTTACTGTGCCCGGGATCCACCGCCAAATTGGATCCCACGATTGGCCCTTCTTTTTTTATTTTTATTTTTAAACTGAAAAATAATAATAAAATAATATAAAAAAATACATGGGTAATCGAACATAGAGTATCAGCACATACACTTAAATATGATAAGTTATTTAAGTAAATTGTTAATCGTGCAACCTAGATTATTTATAAGTAGATATAAATCGTTCATGCGGCAATAAATTTAGTTCAACCTAAAAATGAAAACGGCCCAGACAAAAAAAAAATCTTATTTAGTTGAACCTAAAGATGAAAACGGCCCAGAGAGAGAGATTAGAGTTTTAACATCTTAGCTTTTTAACATAGTCTATGACAGTTAATTTGATCATTCTTCACTAATTTAAAATCACTAGTAAAAAAAACCAAAATAGCTACGGTACATTCGTAGCAAATTCGTAGCTATATGGAAAGCTTGCTACGAATTTACTACGAATGTACCGTAGCTATTTTGATTTTTTTCTATATAGCTACGAATTTGCTACGAATGTACCGTAGCTATTTTGGTTTTTTTTACTAGTGAATGTTAGGAAGTTGATTTTTCTTAGTAAAAGGTTTTTTAGAAATAACTCATTAGCTATAAAATTTGTGTTATCTTATAAAATATAAACTATACACAAAAGTGAGATTGTTTAATCAATACGTTTGTGACTTTACATGATATATATAGCTGTCAAGTAATTTAATTTTACTCGTTTAAGTATTCGAGAGGAGTTTTACAACTAAGCAAATGAAATATCAGTTGATATGGTCAAAAAATCTTTCAAATTACCGTATGTACTGATTCGAAACGACTAAGATCATCTCCAATGGTTATCTATTTTTCTTCTATAATTTACGCAAAAATAGAGTAACTCTATTATAGAGTAACTTTTATTCCAATGGTTTACTATATAATAGAGTTACTCTATTATAGTGTGGAATATAGAGTAATGTCATTTTTCCACTTCAAATATAGAGTGAAAAAATGACATTACTCTATATTTCACTCTATAATAGAGTTACTCTATTATACAATAGACTATTGGAGTAAAATCTACTTAATAATAGAGTTATTCTTTCTCTACCACCGCGTGTGGTTCTACCACAGTATGTGGTCCTTTCAACTCTTGTTGCTGATACTAACGTTTGTACTTGGTCTTGCTTCTCTGATGCAGCATGGGATCCATCTACGGGAAACTGTGGACTGGGTTGGCAGCTCCGAGACTCTACCAATTCCTTGGCTGAATTTCCTTTTCACACCGGCGTTTTGTTCCTTCAGCTCTGGTGGCCGAGGCGTTGGCGGTTAAAGCTGCAGTCTCTGTTGCAGTTTCTTCTCAAGTCAGTAAGCTTACGGTTAATACTGACTCCAAGACCCATGTTCTGCTCCTGAAGTCTCATGGACAGGACGTGGCTCTAAGAGGAGTGTTGCATGACATCTATGTTCTTGCTCGCTCTCTCGACTCTATCTCTTTTGTTTTTATCCCGCGTTTAGCAAATGTAATAGCTGACTCCATGGCAAAAGCAGCTTTGTTCTCTATTTCTTCCCCTGCAACTCTTGTAGACTGAACATCATCTTGCTTAATCAATCATCTTTCGCACAAAAAAAAAAGAGTTACTCTATTTTTGTGTAAATAATAGAGAAAAAAATAGATAGCCATTGGAGATGCCCTAAACTACAGTCTATAATTATTTTATGTTAATGTGTTATCTTAACCTATAGGTTTAATAAAGATGAACATCAATACTATTAAAACAGAGTCATATTTTTATCTACTGATAAAAAAATATTGGACCATTTCATTAATAATTTTAATACATTAAAATGATATTTATATATTAGATCATTAGATCATTTGAATAAAATATACTATCACACATAAGAATATTCTACTATATCACCTTTTATTTTTGAATATTTCCTATTTTACCTTAACAAAATCTTAGAAAATCTTGTGCTTATTAATTTTCAATAATTCATTAAATTTGTAATTAATATTAAATATTAGACATAGATATTATTTAATTTTTTTTAAAAAAATTAGTATTTCTATAATTTCTTATTTTAGTTTACAAAGTTAAAATATAAAATTAGAAAAATAAAATTTAACTATGGTAAACGTAAATTATAAAAAGTACAAAATTATATTGTTTAATTATATTTTTTTAGTGTACAGCTGTTGTTTTATATTTGTAAATTAAATAAAAAATAGCTTATTTAAAATAAAAAAAATTATTAAAATAAATTTTGATCAATGAGAAATATGTAAAAATCTTATCCTTTTTTATTAGAAAACATAAAAAAACTTAATGAAATGTGTTGAATAGATAAATTATTAAAACTTTTGATTCGTATATAGATATATTTATTTTAAATATGTATAAAAATATTAAAACAAAAATCTATTATATATTAATATATGTTGTTTCATAAAAAAATATGAAGAAAATATAAATAATTATATATTAATAATATCAAACAAAAAATATTAAGTTACATAATATTAAACACAAAATTCTAACAATATATTTTGTCACATCGTCATAAAAATAAATATAATTATAAAAAAAAAAAAATCTGCGGGCGCGCGTGTTAAAATCTAGTCATATATTTAAAACGAAGTAAAGGATATCACCGAATTGGAAGAAACATATGTGGCTAACAACTCATAATTAGGCGATCTGCAAAAGAAAAACTGAAGTTGGCAAAATTTCAAATTTGAAGTTTAATGATGTTCCTCTCCAAAAGAACAACTTCAAATTAAATTTTTGCACTATAATCCTTCTGATTACTAAAAGTGAACAAAAACCATAAAACTTTTATTTAGCAATAGGACGTACAATAAAAATATTATACAAACTATTAATTAGTAAGATAATTATTACATATATTTTGAAATAATAAGTGAGTCTTTTAGTTATTTTTTAGTAGATTACATGTTAAACGTTATTGAAATCTTGTACTTTCGTTAGTTGACTTAATTTCTTTTCATATAATTTTAGCTTTTTGTATTTTAGTTTATAATTTGTAAAAAAATTGTATTATAATATTGTTTTGTCTAATATTTTGCTTCACTGTTATGATATGCATTTTGCATAAAATAAAAAAGTTATAGGGACTAAAATGATAACTATAAAAGTTAAAAAATTATTTGAAAGATAGATAATTGAAAGGATTGAAAAGTAAGGAATTTTAAATATAAAGTTTTGTATAGTAGAATTTAAAATATGGAATTTAACTGTACAAAAATTTGATTTTTGAAAATTTGAAGTTGCTTTTAAAACATGTAAAATTTCATATTTGAAACTTTGAAGTTGACTGTAGAGATACTTTTACATGAAAGTGGAAGCATCGTAGCATAGTGGTTAAGGTTTACAGACTTCTACACCAGGTCTGGAGTTCGAATCCTAAGCTACGCAGTTTCTACACCAAGAAAGTTTCAATTCCCGGAGAAGGTGAATGGCGAATTATGTAGATTGGAGAAAAAACTTACAAGAGATCTTCAGCATGGCGCAAGACATATCGTCAGGATGGATCTCATAGGGCGGCTCAGGATGATGCAGTCAGACGTGAATCCGCATAAGGCAGGTATAATTGTCGGCTGTAATATCGTCTATGTAATATATCTCATAGTTTGTAATGCATAATTATCCAGTATTACAACAAAAAAAAAAAAGACAAACCAGTGAACAAATCCAAAGTCATCTAGCCATTTACTCAAAAAAATTATAAAGTACTTTGACTTAGTAGAGGTAAAATTCATCAAAATAAATACCAAATCAAACATAGAAAATTGATACTTTAGACATGATTTTGTATTCCAAAATAAAAACATAACTTTAAGTTATAAACAGAAAAATGACAAAATAAATAAGAGATAATGTTTATACACACTAAACTCAATATTTAAAAACATTATTTTGTACTGTATAAAAGATAAAAAAAAACTCATCGATTTAGAACCATTTCAGTCTCATCATTTTTTACTTTGCGTTTTATTCCGTTCGAACTTTTTACTTTAATAAAACTCTGAATATTTATCCAGACAGTAGTTTTATTTCTTGTGTCTGCAGACAATCCGGTCTTAAAATTATTTCTACTTGATTTTTAACAAATATAATTTTTTACTACAGTATAAATATAAATATGTGGGAAGAGTAAAGTCTTTGAAGTAAATCTTTTTTTGTTTGGTATGGGATATCTAATCCATTTCAGGGCATTTTTAAAGGTTTGTAATTAGTTACTAATTTTGGGGTTCCTTTTTCAATTTCAGAATTTTTGTTTACATAAAAAGCAGCATTAAGACCAAAGAAATCTTGATCTCGAAATTAATCTTTTTTTTGAAGATCAGAAACTTTTTTCTAAAATGTTTTTTAAATTCTGAGTTCATTTAAATTGGACGAGCTTTTGTGGGAATCTCTTTTTTTATTTAAAAAAACATTTATCATAAGGTAAATCGACAATATGTTTTTTCGATTCCAAAAAGCGGTTGGTAAGTTTGAACAAAATTCTTTCTCAAATAATTTATTTAGTAGGGGTTATTGGTTCTAGTATTTTAATGGATTTAGTGGATTTAGAAATATTTCTTGGATTTAGAAATTTTTGATAAATTCATTGATTTGAAAATCAAACAACCAGATTTGAGAATCAAAGAAATAGATTTCAAAATCAAAATAAGTGGATTATTATAAATCAGTTAAAAAGATTTTCACTAAGTTCATACTACAACTTAGAAAAAATAATAAAAACTACAAAACATGTTTTATCATTTTGTATATCATATATTATCCTGATAATATAAAATCAGTCCACATGTTAGTTGCTATTGTCCCTCTCACTTGATTGGCATGTTCTCTTTGTTGATCTTGAGTTACAAAAATTTCTTCACCATCATTATTGACTTGTTCAAGATCTTCTTCGTCATCTGAATCTTTTTCTTCAGGAAAATTATCTGTTCGGCAGAACTTTCGAAGAAAATTATGTAAACCAGCACAAGCAAGCACAATCTCTGTTTGTGTCTTATAAGGGAAAGGGGGTGCCGACTTAAAAATCAGAAATCGGGATTTGAATATACCGAAAATTCTCTCAATGACATTCCTCAAAGAAGCATGACGATGATTAAACAACTCTTTATCATTTCGTGGAGTAGAATCTTGTCCAGAAAACTCTTGTAGATGATATCGAACACCACGATATGGAGCCAAGAAGTTGCGGCGATTTGCAAAACCACAATCAACCAGATAAAATTTTCCTGATATTAAAGAATAATTAGTTATTTGGGAAAAATATCAAGGTTTAACAAATATAAATACATACACATATATATATATATGTACCTTCTGGAACTGGTAATCGACTTGTGCTCCTTGTTAAAGCATCATTTAATATTTTTGAATCATGAGCTGAACCCTCCCATCCACTAAGTACGTATATGAACTCAAGATCAAAATTACATGCAGCCAACACATTTTGTGATATATCACCTTTTCTGTTACGGAAAGAAGCCGCTTCTTTTTTTTGTACCATTGCAAATATATGTGTACCATCGATAGCTCCAACACAATCCTAAACATATTAAATATTATGACTAAAATAATATTAATAAAATCATATATCAAAAATATAAATATAAATACCTTAAAATATAATACCTTAAAATATGGATAAAATCTTGTATTTTCTCTAATCTTTTGAGGTACTCCAGGTCCAGCGGTGGCCATGAGACTTGGTGAAATTTGGTTTAAAGCTCTTAAAACTTTGTGAAAATTCTCACTTATAGCAAATTTGGATCTTTTAAAAGTATCTCTGGTATAGCAATACCTTGCATTTTGGCCAACAGTTAAGAGGAAAGATGCAACCATTTCTTCAAGGCTAATATATCTTGTATCAGTTAGCTCTGTCATCTCTCTGATGAGATTGCATAATTTCAAGAAAATATCTGGATACATCCGGTATAACTCTCTAAAATGAAGAGGATTTTCCTTCAACACATTTTCGATGTAGTCTTGACCAGCTCTTGTGATTACGCGTCGAATGGGACGTTCAATTTGCAGTTGAAGTTCTCGTTGTTGCTTCTTCAAACACATTATCTGACAGAAAATTAAGAGTACCAATAAAGTAATATGGGCATCTAACTCTTCATCTTCATGTGACATATCTCTCTCTTTTTCATCTGAAGTTTCTTGTTGCTCAAAAAATACTGGATTCATGTTTGACAATGTGTACCTATGATAAAATATCTAGCACTAACGTGTTTGACAAGATGCTCTTGATTATTTGTTTGATAGTGCTGCTTTTATTTACTTTAAATATGTAACTAAATGTTAAAATAATGTAAATTATACATATTTAAATTTTACATTTAACAAAAAAGTATGTAAAATTTACATTTAAAAAAGCAACTGAAATTATGTAAGTTTTACATTAACAAAAAGTAAATATATATATATATATATATATATATATATATATATATATATATATATATATATATATATATATATATATATGCGTTAAAAGGAAAACACATGAAAAAAGAAAAGTTGACATAAAATCATTACGTGCTTTATACATTTACTTATTAGAAACTTACTAGTCTTAACCTACGTTGTTATATGCACCATACATTTTAAAACATTATACATACCACTTACGCACTTATATTCATAAAAGAAATGTTGCAACCCACTTATATATATATATATATAAATTCCGAAACTGTAGAAATAAATAATAAAATAGCAACTTCATTATAACAATAATTGTAATCAAATGCATAAACACAAGCTATAATCGTAAAAAAAAAGCTTTTATACTATAACACCAACACCAGTAGATAATAATAATAATAAATAAATAAAAACCCAACACCTAAATAATAAGTAATTCAAGATCCTATGACATTATGCTTAATCCAGCCACAACGTTCTTCAATGGACATGCTAATGAATACATCTTTCATTCCTAGTTGATGAATCATTTTAACCGCGTCAAAACGTACATGTTCCTCCAAATCGGAAACTTCTTTGATAGCTTCCCATAAGTTATTCTTTTTTTTCTCTACTTCTCTTTGCTCAGCTTCTTGTTTCTGTCTTGTTTCCCTTTCTTCTATCAAATTGAAGAGCTTTTGAGTGACTGTTGTCAAAGCGTTAATCTCAGTAGAAGCTTCTTCAGCACCTTCTTTTTGAATGAATGGGTCATCAGCTTTGTGAAGAGAGCTAGTTTTTTGTCTCTTTCTTAATGGGAGTTTTTCCAAACTATTGTTTGAAGGACTGCAAAAGAAAGATGACTGTGGCTCATAATTTTCTTGGACATTAAAAGAAATATCTTCACCATAATTTGTTTGTTCCTTTTCTGTTTCCCCAATTCTAGTTGTTCGAGCATCAGTGGTATCACCTAATCCAATTGCACTTTTGCCTGTTGCTAAATTCCTTTCAAATATAACTTTGAGATCTTCAAATTCTTCAAAGGTTTCTTCACGAAACTTTTTGTAAGTCGGATGTGCCTAAATTTTTTTATAAAAAAGTTAGTATAAAGAAAAATATATAAACAATATAGTCTTGTGTTATTTTTTTTACCTTTATATATTCAGTCCACACTTCATCTGGAGCAGTAAATCGTTTTGTGGTTGAATCCCATCCAAACCCAGAACTAAAGCGAAGAAGTTCAGCACCACCTAAATACTTTGCTTTCAAAATCTTCATCCTGTTTGTGTAGTGCTGGAAAGATTTGGAGCTCCCATGTGTTTCATTGAGAGTAGGTAGGATTCTTCTTTCCACTGTGAATTTGCTGAATAAGCCATTACTATCACGCAAACCTGCCGCAACACAATCTAAGAGTAGATTTATCAAAGTCTTATTTTCTTGATGACTCCATTGAACATATGAACTTTTTGCACGTTCTTGTTGTGATTCTTCCATTGATGATTTTTGAGGTTTAAAGTGTTTGTATCTTGTGTACTCTTTTAATATGTAATAGAGAATATATATCTATAAATTATGATTGCCACATACGATAGAAATTGGACAATGATAATTAGGAAATTGTGCAAATTGGAATTATTGGAAGATGTTAAAATAGAAAACTTTCAAAAGTGATCAAGCAAAAAGAAACATATAATAATATTATGCAAAGTGGTGGTTTTATGTAAACGTGTATGCTCTGTGTTTTCCTTTTAACTCACACAGACATGTCGTCAAAAAAAGTCACGTTGGCAAGTATGTCATATCTTTTGTTTATAGTTATTAGGGGAACATGTTCAATACCTACGTGAAATATTGGTCAGAAAAAAATATTCACTGATTTATCAAAATAACAAGGTTCAACTCAATATTTGCTCCTTTGTATTTTTAACTTAAAATCACTCATAAATCTAATCTAATCCATTTCTAAATCAAATCCTTAAGAAAATCATTATTATTGAATAACACCTGATTTTAAAATCTATTTTAAAATTATAAAACCAATAACAGTGAATTTGAATATAGATTTAAAAATCATAGAACCAATAACTATGAATTTGAATATAGATTTTAAAATCATAGAACCAATAACACTAGATTTGATTTATATTTTAAAATCCATTGAAATACACAAACCAATAACACCTCCTTAAGTTTGAATTTCTTTTGAGAGGTTTCTAAGGTCTACTGAAGTAAAACTTTTGATTTTAAATTTTCCAGGGGGGAAGTTTTACTATGGATTATAGAGTTTAGAAAGTTTCTTGCATTGAACAAGCTTTTATTAGATTTCGACTTCTCTGTTTTTGGTGTTTCAAAAAATTTAAAAGATAGTTTTATATTTGAATTTTTAAAGGAAATTTCATCATCCATGACTTTATACAGTGTAATCCAATTAATAAATGGTGTTTCTAAAATAAAAATTTGATATATATTTATATCATCCGTGAGAACAAATGCAGTTGTAATAAGAGCGTTTTCTTTTAATATTTATGATTCTGCTTTAGACATAAGAATTTTAGAATATTTGCAGCATATAGTTTTTCTTGGATTTCTAGATGAAAACATTAGATATGAGTAAAACTTACTATTTATTATTTTTATTATCTAAATATGTCTGGATGGTGTACAAATGTGAAATGAATGAAGAATTTGTTACACCTTAGTTATTATCCAAACTATTTTTTTATCACGTATTAGATTCTTATAAGAATATATTATTGATCTCAACATCACATATTTATTTGTCATACGTATTATTTTGTTATGTTTGTGTTTTTATGTATGTGTTATTTAATCTTTTATAATATATTTCCTTATGATTATAATCTATTTTTACAATTGTAATAAATAAATCTAATGTAAATACTCATTTCTTTAAATACTTCTATGTTATAAAAAATATAAATGGTAAATTGAATTAGAAATGAGTAAAACTCACAATTTATTGTTTTTATTATCTACATATGTATGGATGGTGTACCAATGTGAAATAAATGAAGAGTTTGTTAAACCTTAGTTATTATCCAAAATATTTTTTCTCACGTATTAGGTTCTTATGAGAATATATTATTGATCTCTACATCAAATATTTATTTTTCATATGTATTATTTTATCATGTTTGTGTTACTATTTATATGTTATTTAATCTTTTATAATATATTTCTTTGTGATTATAATCTATTTTTACAATTGTAATAAATAAATCTAATCTAATACTCATATCTTTATATAAAACAACTTTTAATGTTGTATGTGTTAAATACAATGAAAAATTCTATGAAAATATTATTCTGTACCATTTTATATTTTTCGTTATAACCAGAAAAATATCTTACAATCTAGCTATAGTTAAAAATATTATTCTGGATTAAAACTTAGTGTAAATAGTTAATCAAAATATACTCAACAGATATTCACAATTATTACTTTTGTTATTAAATATTAGTTGGTTTTACAGTTACTATTTTTTTAAACACAAACAGGTTTTTAAAGATAAAGTTTTAGTATACAAATTAGGGGGGATTTTGAATATATTTTCAGTCCAACATTATGATCCAAAAACATCATTTCATAATTTTTTTCCTTTCCAGTAAATACATTCAACAATCTTATACTAATATCACGAATTGAAAATCTATTTTTTCTAATTATATATAGCCTTATATATGTATTTTCATTCATTTTTTGTGAGTTAGACGATTAGTTTTTCTTTTGCTTTCTTCGAGTTACCTTTTATATTTGTTTTGTTAAACTTCATACACTATTTTGATTTTTAAACTTTCTCTGTATTTTTTTGTGAACCAAAATTTAAAAACATTTGTTTCTCTGTTATTGCTTAATGTGGTATTAGTTTGTCTCCTTTAATGGTTTTTTCAATTTTCTTATTCTTCTTTGTTTCTTCGTCGATCTTCCCATTCAGTCCATGATTAGAAAATAAACAGTGCGATTTAGACATCTAACACAGAACATCAAATTTAGATTCTGATATGGCCCTACTGATTACTACTCAGCAATCTATCTAATACTAAATGAGAAGACATATGAAAGGTCAATGAGTGAAGAAAATACGTTTAGGCCATGTCTGGCACATGATTGTATAATAAGATAGTTACCTTGATACAATGGGCAAATGAATGTCAGTTGCCTTTAAAATTTGGAATAAGTCATCATATCTTTTCCTGTTGATGTCTTAAGTGTGTAAACAAACAAATAAAATAGCAATTTTAGATTCAGGTGTTAAACCGCCAAACCTTACCCTGTAATTGTGATCAGATCCTTCAGCACACTCATTCCATTTCGTGCAATGCTTACTACTGCGTTTTACTTAAATTAAAACACAAAGAAACCATGTAAAGAAGTCGTAACTTTCATAACAAAAAGTATTTTGGAGAAATAATATACGATGCTTACATCAATTCCACCCTCAATCTTTTGATATTTTGGTGAAATAGCCAAATCTGGTTCCGATCTTTCTGCATCACAAATACAAAAAATAAAAAGCAGAATAGGAATCAGAAGACGCACTGATAACCAAAACCACACAAATCTATTGTTCTTGATCTTACACTTTGAAGAAACTAAATCAAGTTATGGACCAGCTCGACAGAAAGAAAGTATTCAAAACAACAAATACATGAAACATAGAAGATCCAAGGAAGATATATAGGCGAGGTCATATTCTGAACTTTGGTGATTGCCATGGATGTCAACAAAAGTAGTTAAAAAAGTGCCTTCTCTTGTCTCATTCTCAATCTAGAAGCTTCTCTCTATTCAAAACGCTATGTTCTCACCCAGGCCTCTTCTTTCTTTTTGAGATTCCTCTCTGCCTCAGCATATCCTCCTCATTCTATCTTATTCTCTCCTCGTTCTATAATCAGGTTGATGCAAAGCACAGAAGCATAAAATTAGCGAGAATTGCCTTGCTTGCACCCCATATCCATGAAATAATTAGCAGCCTAACAAAGAAAAAAATGCTCTAGTTAATCAGAAAGAAGATCTATGTCACTAATACGATGATTCAACAGCCGAAAAGTAAACTTACCAAAAGAGCATGACACAACTTATGTTCTTCTTCCTTATTTCTTGAATTTGTTGTTCTTTTCCAAGTCCAAGGTGTAATGGAATCCATGAGACACTGGGAACCAATGCGGCTTTCTACGTAAATGTAATGGAATGTACCAAAGAGTAGTCATATATGATTATGACATTAGTTAAGAAATTACCTTAGAGATTTGTTGTTTGCTTTGAAGCGAGAGAGTGCAGAGTTTCGCTGTTGATCTCAGGTTGATTTCATCATCACCTTCTTTCTTCTGATCAGAGTTCTACTTTCTACTGACATTGTGATGAACTGCCTTCTTAGGTGAAGCTTCTTGCTTGCAATTGCAATCACCTACTCCTCTCAATATAGTTGTAGAGAAGTAATGGCAATATTATAAATCATATAATTTCACTCGCTTTCTCCTCTCCATATAAAACATTAGTCTCGTGAAAACATTCTACACATATGGCAGTTAGAAATCTTGACGTTAACCAACATGCATATATATATATATATATATATATATTTGCGAGATTGTCTTATACCTTGGACGTGCAATCGAAATTTGATGCCTCAAAAAAAATATCATTTCGGATCAGGTGTGAGTGTTGATTCAGTAAAACAAATGCTTATAAGGACATTTCTCTGTACATAACAAAAATAATCAAAACTGCATCCGTAAGAGATCAAGAAACTTGACACTGACCAAATATATTCAGAAAGCCTACCTCCAATAGCACTGGTTGAGTTCTCAGCCTCATTGAAAACCCATGTCGAATCTAAATGAAGACATTGTACATTTAGAGGCCGAGCTAAAAGCATAAAATCAAAACACATAACTAATGTAAATTCAAATACTTTCAAAACATAATAGACCCAATGTGTGACCAAAGTGAAAAAATTATGTCAGAACCTGTCAAAGAAGAGAAACAGGATGTGGTACTGAGGATCCTTGCTATGACTCCTAAAGCACACCAGCTTTCATTTTTTAGCTTCCTCTCTGCCTCAGCAGACCCTCCTCGTTCTATCTCTGTCTTTCCATCTCTGATTGATATCTAACACCTTCTGCTTTTGCTGATAATTTGTTGACATTAAACAATTAGTCCTTGATAGAAAAATAATTGTACAATGAACACATGAATTATAACTCATCAGATTCCTAAAAGATATTAGTCATATTAACAGTTTTTACCTCTGCTAAACTGTGTGGTGTCATCAAAGATAGGGTTTATATAAGAGTAGAAAGGAAGTGGAAGGATAGGAACGCTTATCAATATTAGAGTTAAGAAAGGATTGAATGATTCATCATTGTAAATCAAAGAAACAAAGATTTTCAGAAATCAATGTAACGACGGTTGAGAAGTGGAAGAGGCGAAACAATATCGACGGTCGTGAGGAAGGAGAGTTGGGTGATAGGTTTTACACAAAATAGTAACAGGCCAGGCCATAGAGAGTCCCGTCTAAAATTCTGTGTTGCCTAAATAAGTGAGCTGATTTGGTAAATTGCAAGTATTTGAATGGCTGATTTTTTTAGCTGACGTGTACGCGCTTAGAGGGTTTGATATCCTGCTTTTAGTATTTTTAGATGAAGCAAGGACAAAATATGAAAAAAAAAAAAAAAGAGAATTGTTTACATGAGCAACTCTTAACAAGTCTTTATAGTCTGTATACCATTTTGAGCCATGCTCAATGTATAATAAAAAGACATTTACCTCAAGTCTCCTATAAATATTTTATACTTAGGGTCCCCTTATCTGAAGAAAATTAGTTTTAGTATAGTGTTAGTATTATTTCTTAAATTTGAATTTTGTTGAAAGTGAAAATAGTAAAGAAAGTTTTATGTTTCCAATTAGTTTTGTTAGTTTTTTATTCTAGTTAATAATTTATCTAATTTTTCACAATTTGTTATATGATTTTAAACTTTTTAAAGTTAAAACTGATTAAAAATTGTAAATGAAAGATTAAGTTAATGGTTTTACTACCAATCTTTAGACTAATAGTTGATTTACAATTTTAAGTTAAAAGAAAAGATTTTGATCCGCACAATCGTGCGTGTCTTTTTTTAAATTGAATATAGGAAGTTATAAACTATGTCCTTTGCGTATTTACCTTTTGCATGATGAAACAATCAAATTGATATCTTAGATAAGTAACTTGTAATTCGATAATTCTATACCAAACATAAAATTTTTAATATTTTTGTTGTAGAATATATTCACTCTTTTTAATATATGATGTCTTAGAAAATTATTTTCACTTCAAATAAGATGACATTTTCAAATTTTAATGCAATTTTATTCATTTTTTTTCTTTTTATATAACTTTTCTATTCTCCCTTTAATGTTTTTATTTGTTCAATTATGATTAGGTGAATATTAATGATGTTTTGGTTAGATAAAATACGAAATTATTTTTTTCTTTAATTGGTCTGAACCAATCAAATTTCAAAGTAATAAAAATGAAAGTAGTGTAAATATCAATAATATTAAAGAACAATCACATATTGTGATACTTTTTTGACATCATCAAAATAATAGCATTAATCATATGTTATGGTTGCATAACATAATACTAAAAATAATATATACGATCATATGTCTATACAATCATATATTATGATTGCATAACATATGTTTTTTTGGTTAATGAGTTAATGACCTACAAATAATTATATATGTTGTTAATAATTATTAGATTAATAGGTTAAACTATTTTTTGTAAATCAATTGGTATATTTATATATATTTAATTTATTGGTCTTGAATACAGATTTTTTTATTTTAGCATCCAAAAATATAATATATTGTTGGTTTATTAAGATATTAATAAGAAATATTTGTGATTGTATTTATATGAAAACTAAATTATATGATAATTAAATGTGATGATTTTCTAAGAGATTATCCAAAATAAAATATTACACATGAAAATAATAATAACTTATTTTAATATATAAGATGTTTAAACAAGAAACTATTATAAACATGAAATAATAATATCTTTGCCTCAGGCCCCTAAAGACTTAGGCAAGGCACATGTTCTATAGTAGAGTACTAGGATAAGACATGCGCCTTGCGCAGGGTGAATATATGTAATTAAAATATAAAATTTTAGTATTGACAAATTTAAAATTTACATATGATTATTTTTGTATGTATTTGAAATTTTAGAATTTTGAAATTTTTATATAATTATTTATAAGTATGATCAGAAACAATTTTAATTAGAAATGTAGATCAAATCTTAGAATTTAATGGATCTGATTTCATATATCTTTTCACTTTTCAGTGTTCGAGTGATGGAAAATAAATGAAGTGTCACTGGGCTTGATTGGTAGAGTATTAGCAAGTTCCCTAATGTTTTTTAAGAAGCAATTGGTAAAATATTTGAATTTAAAATATATAAAGTTTCAAAACTAATTTAATGTAATTTATTTATTTGTCTAATAATATTACAAAATTATACGTTTTAAATTATTATTTTTATAAAAAAATATGTTAAATTTTAAATTATTTTAAAAACAATATTTTAAGTTTTTCAAATACAAATAAATAATTTAAAATTAATTATGGTCATGAGTTAACATAACCATAATGATTTAAAAATTGAAAAAATTAACAAATTAAGAAATTAAAAATTAACTCAGTTTTATATCATGATTTAACAATTTAAAAATTAATTATGGTTATGAGAAGTTTACGTTCACGTGTCAATCCTATTTATCTTCCATTTTTCTCTTGCTATGTTTTTTTTTATATTTTGGTTATTACTCGATATAAATATTTATTTTAAGTTTTATTCGTATTTCGTTTGTTTGTTTTGACATGAAATTTAGAAAATACTTAAGATTTAAAATAATTAAAGAGTTACATACTTAGGTTAAGATCTACACTTTATACAGAATAAATATTTTATATTTATTATTTATTTTATATTTTTCTGCATATTATAAATAATAAAATAATAAATATTTATTAAATAACTAAGAAATCAGTTACTATTATGGAATAAATTGGCGTATGAATATAAATTTAACTATTACTCTTGTTTATTCACAATTAGGGTAAATAAATCAAAATAATCAATCTTATATATTCTATGTGATATATAATTAAATTTAAATGATATAAACATAGTAATGTAGCACACTTTTAAGATGGATATTTATTAAATGAAGTTTCTACTCATATGATTTTATGATTATTTGCATATTTGTGTAACAAAACTTTACACCAACGATTTTTTTTTAATGTGAGATGTTTAGTAGTTTCAATAAATTATATTCATTTTAAAAAAACAATGACATATTTCAAAATTAAAATATTAGCTTTTCAATATATGTTCAAGGAAAATATCAAAATATAAGTATGTATTTTCATATGATGTATAGTTTAATTAAAATTATATGAAATATATATAAACTAAAATTATTTCTTCATATGGTCTTATAATCATTATATTTTAGTATACAAAAAAAATAAAACCTTGATCTTAAAAGTTTATGTGGGACTTTTAACAATTTTAGTAATTTATACTCATTTTGAAAAATTCGAAATACAACATACACAAAAAAAATCTAGATTTTTATTATATGATTAATATAATTGTGTAATTTATTTTAATAATAAAGAAATAAACAAAATGAAAAAAAGTATATAGATTGTTATCAAATCTTTATTGTTTATAATCATTAATTGTCATATATATATATTTTAATGACATTAGGTAATTCCGTAGGTTTTATTTAAGGAAAGTATGCGAAACAATAAATATTTGATATATGCGACCAATTATAGCCTACAGAATATTATATTGTTAGAGAATATAATTTTTAAACTATATATTATATCACATGCTCTAGAATCCTTGGGATTTGAAATAGAAGCCAAAGAACTATGCCACGTAGAATTGAGGTTATTTTTAATTTTTACAAACTTAAGGTTACAACTTTTTAAATGATTCTTAAATAATATATAGGGGAATTTGAATGTGGTTAGTTTTGAGTTCGAGAACTTTTAACAAATATTCCAAAGTACAATAAAGTGCGATGGAGGGCGGTAACAAGTAGCAGTTAGTAGAATCTTCCTAGGGAATGGTATTATGTTATCCACACATTTCCTTTTTCATGTTTCCTTATTTAATCAAAGAAAGACGAGCTCCATCTAAGTCCAGTAAAAAATAACATTTTTATTCCGACCCATAACTTATTTTTGACTGAATCTTCCAACTCATTTCCCACAAAACAACTACTCCTATTTATATAAGGAAATAGAGAAATTTTATTCTCCGTAATAATCTAGAAATCAATGCATCAAAATATCAAATCATGACTATGCATCACTTTTTAACACAAAAAGGCAAAAATATTTTGGTTGTGACAATGAATTGTAATTAGTTGTGAACCTCAAGGGTACAAATGGCAACATAAGAAGGTTGGAGAGAATGGTTGTGTGCGACATGACTTGCTAAGTAAGGGACTTTTATTTTAATTAGGCGTAACGAGTTGGCTTAGAACTGAAAGCAACCAGGTCCATCCCCAAAATTAATTATTATATCTTCTAATCTTAATACTCATTATATATGAAATAATTGACTTTATGATAAGGGAAAGTCTATGTGGACCTATACTGTAAAATTAAGTCTTAAGTTTTCAAAACAGAACGGGTAAAAAAATATAAAAATGCATGAATACCTGTTTGAAAAAACATTTTGAGTTTCCTTTTCCCGATAGTCAAATAATGGGCCACCCGTTCGCTGAACCCGATTATAGAGGTTCTAACAAATGACAAGCCATATAAGATCAAACTTAAGAGTTGTGGAAAATATAATTTCAATTTTATAAATTGATATTTATCAAATTAATAAATTTGAAACTAATAAAATAATATTTTAAATGGTATCAACACAAGATAAAATGATGCATTTTAAAATATTTAGATAAATATAAGCTCGACTAAATCAATGTTTAATAATTTATATATTTAAAAAATTTATAACTAAAAAGTTAAATATTTGTCTTAAAGATTTTTTTATCTTCAAAATAATTAGATATGATTTATTGAATTACATCTAAAATTCATACACATTCTGGATTTCATGGGTTTATAAACACCAAATAATCTAATAAGAGAGATAAAACCCCAAGTTTAATTATTAGTATCAATAACTCAATAATTATATATAAATGAAATGATATTTTAAATATAAATCTGAAAAAGAAATTTCTGTTACATAATCATAATATTATTAATTTATAAAAATTATTGTATCTGCATTAGATATATGTAAAAAAATGATTAATATTTTTAGATTAGTATTGGTTGTTTGGTCGTTGAATTTTTAGATTGGTAGTGCTGACTAGTCATGACACGAATTTGTACATGCATTTTGGCAGGAGTTTTGCACTAATACACCACTGGTTTAGCATGAGTCCAAATCATCCCAAACACTGATTCTTAACTGGGACACACTTAAACCAGAGGGCTGGATCTCTTTTCCTTGGATTCATTCCCCACTACCACTAACCACCTTGCTTGCGTTCTCTGTATAACATTTTGTTCAGCACAGTCAAAATATATCAGGACAATTGCTGTTACATAAAATCATGCAAAGTCTCTTAAACATCTTGCTATTTTATTTGCCGTCTAATAATAAAATCACACAAATTTTGTTAAACTACCATTTTTGTGGAATGGAGGGAGTATTTTTTTTGTCAAACCCAAGCATGTCTAATCAGTATATGTTTTACCAAACAAGGTTGATTAAAAATATTGACTCGTGTACTCTATGAACTATTAATGTATTGGACTCGTGGATATGATAAACAAATTATCGATTTAATACATAGTTAGATGTAAATGACAGCCATTTGTTTAAGTCCATGTGCTATCTTCCTACTATTTTGTATGTATACATAATGAGTATTAACGATTTAGAGACTATGTGAAGAGAAACTAGATTCAAATTCATATAATTAAACTAAGGATAGGCAAAACATTTTAAAATTTTAATTTGATTCCCTATCTATTTCAATTCGAATAAAAAAATCTGGATATATATAGTTCTATGAAACAAACAAATACTAATTAATATGTAGTATTCGTAAAACATATGAACTCATAAATACTAATAATTTTAGAAATGGATATCCGAGCAGATCAGTTATATACACACACACACACATATATATATATATATATTCTTGTAAAAATTGAATATATAAATTATATAATTATTATATATTTTAAGTTTTAGAATATTTTTATTTATTAATTTGATTATTTTGGTTGTTCTAATTTTAAAAAGAATAAAAATTGTAATAAAAATTATTATTTTCTATTAGTTTGGATTTTTTTGTTTAAATTTGACATTTTCTAAATATTATTTTATTTACAAGAATCCGGATATCCAGTTAAAATAAAATTCTTTTGTGTTACGTCGGATATCCAACTAGTTGCTGATCAGTAGAAATTGATCAATTCATGAATGCTTCAAAAAACGCAGATATTCAATTTGTATCCACCTTTATTCCTAATTTTTGGATCTCTACAAACATGTAACTGGTATATAAAGAAAAATCATAGAAAGATACAAGTTTAATAGAGAAATTAAAATCGTCAGAGAACAAGAATAAATTATACATTTTATTTCAATTGTTAGAAGTTGGATCATGAATGCAGCTACGATACTAATTTTATAAGGGACGCATTGGAAGCAAGGAGTGAGGCGGCGAGTGAATCTTGTGACTGTGTTCTGCTGTCACTGTTTATCTTTTTTCCTTTCTTCAATTGTTTTCTTTTTCTTTTTCCTGTTCTGTTATAATAATTACAAGTCTGTTATAATTGATTAAAATAATTCATAAAGTATAAATGTGGTGACCAGCAAAAACAACCCAAAATCAACGAAGAACCTAATCCACGTCTATAAGGTGTGGTGGTCATTCGCCTGCCGAACCCTAAGCCGATCACCACGTCCATCTCGTGTCCACTGCCTTTCTATTTCATCAATTCATTTTATGTACATCTAACGTTTCCTAATTATATGTACATATAATATTCATACATTCAAAAGTATGTTATTTTATGAATAGTATAAATTACTTTATACAAATGTAAGAAAATATAAATTTACATCACAAATTTATTATAATAAAATCATAACAAGTTATATAAAACTGATAAAAGTAAATTTCAAAAAAAAAATATTAAAAAATCCTTAATATAGTATGTGTCGAAATCTAATTGGTCCTTATAGCATAGTCCCAATAGATACATTTTTATCAATACAAAATAGGTACATACACTTCTAGACTAATACAGTTCTAGAGTGTTTTCTTTTTATAATCAGGTAAATTATAAGTCGAATCTCTTATTCAAAACGGCGAGTAAATATTTTATAACATTTTCCGGCTAGATTTATCGATATTGTTTATGTTTTTACTTATGATATGCCTTACTTTTCTCAAGTATTAGAACACCGCAACATAGCGTTTGGCTGCGTAATCGTGGGAAAGAGGCGTCTACAAGCAATACAATGCTTTGTTCACATGTTAAAAATTGTATTTTTATTAAAAAAAAATAAATAAAAATATACCTTAAAAAGAGGGAAAGAAAATATGCCTTGGAAGTCACTTGCTTTTCGTGAATGAAAGGCAACCATGAACACTAACCACTTGCTTACTCAAACTATTCTTACTTCAACAAGTAGATCATCTAACTATCACACAACCCTTTACTTAACTCCCACTATTATTCCCTCTCTTTCATTATAACTTGTACATTTCATTTTACTCTTTTTAAAAATCAATTAATATTGGAAGACACTTCCAGTTCAACAATATAGTATGAGAAGAAAAATTCACAAACTTCATATTTATGTAATTAAACATTCAACTTTAAACAACTAGTAATGGCAGTCTATTAACGCTGGTGTGGCTGCTGAGAATACTATCCCTTGAAACTTTGACTCTCTTAGATCATCTTCTGGTGCCGGTAGATTAAGATCCAACGATAGATATTTTCTCTGTTCCATCGAACGGCTCAAGTTCTCAGTCTCCTCCTCTGTACTGTTTCTACTAACTTCAGCCGTAGCGACGGGGCTAACCACGGTGGTGGCAGTCCTGTGCCGCCTCATGTGGCCTCCGAGTGCTTGCCCGGAAGTGAACTCAGAGCCACATATCGAACACTCGTGTACTTTGTTTGGTTTGCTGATGATGATGTTACTTGCCTTTGAAGCTAGGGCTGAGCCGGACACTTTAAAATGACTGTTTTGCCCTTCCTCTGATGCACTAGACTTGAGGTTCATCAGGGGTACTTTAGCCTTTTCGTCTATAGACGCTCTCGGCTTCTTGTGGCTCGCCCTGTGTCCACCAAGAGCTTGGAACGACGGGAACGTCCGGTTACATGTTTTACACTCGTAGACATAGAAACTCGAAGTCTCCGTCTGATGAAGAATCTTTTCAGCTTTTCTTGAATTCTTCAGATCCGAAGATGGAGCCGCTCCACGTGCAAGCATGATGAGACAAATCGCCATGTCTTCCTCTTCTTCAGTACAATCAGTTATAGTAACCGGAGAAGAAATTACCGAGTTGTATTCATCTGAAGCTGATCTGTCTCCACCGCCTCCGCCGGCAGATGAACTTGTGGAGGTGACAGTGGTCGCCGCCGCCACCAAGAACATAGACGAGGATGATCTTTGTCGCTTGGTACGTTTCCCTTTTAAGATTTGCGTCTGATCACTACCAACCTCATGATCTTGACCCATCATGATTATTTACACTTATTATAGTAAAAAAAACAAGAACAACCCAATTCAAGAAATCAATAGAGAAATAAATCCAATTAAAGAAATTTAGAAATTGTGATGAAAAATGAGACGTTTGGTGTTTATTATGTGGAGTGAACTAACAAGAGAGAGAGAGAAGAGGAAGTAAACAAGAGAGGCAGTGATGAAGATGATGGTGGGGCTGCTTATTTATATATTTACAAAGGGAGAGGTTATAAGGTAGGTTGTTGTTAATCTTTTTAGTTTACTCCACAAAAGATTTTACACATATGGATCCACTTTACATTATTATTATTATTATAATATTTCCAACTAACCAATAACATTTCGACGGTTCACTCTATACCCATTACCTGACACTTCTGCATTTCTCTGCCAAATTCTATCAAATATGAAATCAACTAATTTTTTTAATGATGGAAGGAAAATAAATAAATCTATGTCATATTTCTTTCTAGTTCATGTTCTGTTGTATCTACTTTTAATCCATATCTTCGAGTTCTGATCTTTACCTAGATCTATGTACCAGAAGTCAACCCTTCATGACGTTTATTTTTATTAGTATTAAATTAGACAGCTTCTTCTAGTACATACTTTCTAATAACAAACATATTTATATCAGTAGTTTGATTAATCAAATGGTTAGATCTTGAATCATTCACATTTACATAATTAACAGAGAATTGTTATCATTATGTCTAATGAATTATTTCCAAATGATTTAATTTTACACAAAGAATAAAGTAGGAAATAAAAGAGAAAGTGAAACCCGTGAAGGGTTAACCACTGAATTAGGCAAAGGTTCATTAGTAGTGTTGAGTGGCACTTAGGCCACCAATTCACGTTTATTTTTTATAGTGTGAACATTTGGTTCTATCAACAAGCAAAGTTTTACTTTCACGCACTTTAGGTCCACGTCATCAAATCGACGCTTTCAATGAAAACCGAAAATGGATAGAACTAAACACAAAAACGTTCACGACAGCAAATAATAAGTATATACATATTGTTAATGGTTGTACGACTATAAAAACTTTGATTACTTGTTTAATATATTAAGGTTATCAACAAAATAATGATTCGTAGACATAAGAGGGATCATAATTAGGAGGCGACATGCAGTGGCCGGTGTTTATAGGATTAGGTGCATTCATCGGTGGCATGTTAGGCTAAAAAAAATTGTAAGCATAGACTTTGTTATTGTGAAGAGACAACACCACGACTTTTTTATATTTTATTTAGTAATAACTACAGTTTTATATCTTCGTATATAGACAGAGTTGTAAGCTAGTGATAATCAACTGGGTATATTAATACTTGAAACAGTTGCTGGTAAATGGGATTATATATGGAGATAAGAACTTAGAAGTTAGAATACTCTTATTGTTTTGGGGATAAAACTCGAGTTATCTTGGTAATATAGTGAAATGGCATTCTATGTTGTTTTTAGTTAGTGATCATCAATTGGTATCTTAATAATTTTATTTTTTCGGACAAAATGGCATTCTATGTTTTCAGTATCAGAATTAGTTTTAGTGGCAACAATACCCAACTTATTTCGAAATCCTATTGAATATTTAGTTTTGATTTTTGTGTTCACCATTTAGTCTGGTTATAAAAAAGAAACAACCCAATAGATCGAAACTTAAAAAATGGTACTGTAAAATATTTACATCACCATTTACAAGAAAAAAATATATTTACATCACGTGAAAACCCAAACCAAGTAGTTTGGTGTTGTTTTCGCACAGTATTTGCCATCCTACAAAAAAATATTAACGTGTTTACCAGTTACCACGACACACTTTTCTTGTGTCTGGCAAAATCATTTGTAGAAATATTTAAAATAAATGAATTTATAGTACATAGTAATACTTTTTTTATGCATGGGCAAGTGACAAACCATGCAAAAAACATTCACGGTAAATGATCCTTTAAATATATGTCAATGAGTTTACATAACATCCACAAATAATACTCTAAAGATTAAAGTTAGTAGAACATGTAGATGTAGTTTAAATTTATAGATTTGTGTTAATCTCGTCGTTGTAGAATACCTATTATTGACTTTTTAACAAAATTTTGGAGACATTTGTTTGCAAATACGAAAACAATATTTAATTCTAAAAGCTTATAATTAATGGGATAAAAGATTAAAGAAGTATAAATCTCAAGTGGATATAATACAACTTAATTTTGGGGCTAAGGAAAGGTAATGTGTGGGATGCAAGTCTGTTACATACACCAAACCCCATCACTTCTTTCTTCACCGGAATATTTTGCTAATTTCATGCAACATTTCTGACTTTGCATAGGGATTGCTACTTCTATATACTAATATTTTCCACTATATGGCAATATACATACTCATGTATGTAACTATGTAACTAATGTGTAACCACTTGCCACTGGAATATACCAATCATTTTGCATTAAATTTTGTTTTCTACTCTATTCTTTTATGAGATCTTGTTAGGAAAGAGTATTAAGTAAGTACCAAATAAATGCTACCATTAAGCTATATAAAAAGACGGTAGTTATTTTCATTATCAAAAATTTTGATTAGGCAGAATAATTCAATAACACGATGAAATGATTGGAAGAAGTTACTCTTAATCACGTTGGGCTATTCCAACCCCTATTGTCTTGTACAGTTGTACTTGAAGTGGCCCTCACATCTTTTACAGAACAATTTTAATAGATACACTTACACATGGACATTCATATACAAATCAATATAATTTGTTTAGTGGTCCTAACAAAACTGATTTCAGTTTTACAGTCTCGACGATATTTACACATGTATATAATTATATTTATACTGTTTAGATACATAATGAGGAAATAATTGAAATCATTTGGTTGCTAATCATAAATAAGAAGAACAAACTTTATATAAACAAATCAGGAAACAATAGAAGAAGAGATGCATGATGTTGCGTAAAGCAACGACACGAGCAGGTGAGTGGCTAAAAGCTACTAATTTTTTACTCACCGCGTCATATTTCCTAAACATAAATCCTGTATGTGAAGGAGTCCTATTAAAATCATGAAAATTAATTTAATGTTTTCTTTGTTATCATTTTACGTAGATGTTTGAACTTACCATTGTCTAGTAGATGTATTTTTAATGCCAAAAAAAAAATTATGAAAGAACAAAGAAACAGATAAATACATAATAATAAAAAGAAGAAACAGATAAATATGACGTAAGCAGGTTCAGTGTCGAAGTCAGTACAACAAAAAATGTAGGTTAGTTCAGTTTCAAAAAAAAAAATGTAAGTTAGCAGAGAGAGAGAGATACTTAGCGTAAGAAGACAAAGGAGAAGGAAGTGTGCGGCACGTAAGGGTTAAGATGCACCGCCGCATCTTTAGTTGAATCATCCACCAATTACACAACTCATTCCAACCAATATTCTAAAATATAGGTTTACACAAAATATTAGTATTTGAATATCATTTAACGCTTAGTTAGTGCTATTTTATACGCAAGGAAAGGCTATGTAGACGATCTAGACGACTTAAGGGACTGAGCATAAATGCTTTACGTTGTAGCAATTTAGTAGTTAAACTGAACGATACAGCCGGCCAATGTTACGGTCTCATACATACATACAACGGTTAATCTGAACATTGATACTAAATATTAGCCAACTTCGTTTTTTTTGTTATTTTAATACTTTTCATCTCTTGCTAAATAAAAAGTTTAACTAATTATAATTGGTGAGTACTGTTAATGAGCCTGGCACTACATGTGACATCGCTTCAAGTTAGGATTAACCAAAAGATCTTATTTCTACAAAAACGGATCTAACCCACTCTTTAGCTTGCTTTACTTTACTTGCAGGTTGTTGTTTTCCTCTCAACTCCCAGTTACAACTTTTTTTATACTTTTTTCAAGTTTAAAGGCTCTTAAAAACGTTGTTCTGAATATTAAATCATTCATTAGTTGTAATGAAAAATTAAAACTTAAAAGAGATACAACCATCTTGAATACTATCGCTTGGTTTGAAAGAATCATAAAGCTTTTAAGCTATTTTTTGAATAAATTAAGCATAACTCATTTAATATTGCATATCTAAATGGTGACTCTAGAGAGACTACCATATTTTAAATAGGTTAAATTAATTGTTCAACTCAAAAGCATCACACAGTTTATTGATTTAAGCTCTATCTTTTGGGTCTCTATTATTACACTTTTTGCTAGTGCGTTTTTGTTTAACAACCAGAAGTTACAAAAAATAGTATTGACTTCTACTTCAAAAAATATGTGACTGAGAATCTACACACAAACAAACATATACATACATATATGTCGAAGGAAAGAGGTGGAATGTTCTTGAAAAATATATATTTTTAAAAAATGATAATAAGGTAAGAAAATGGGTGGCATACCAAATAGTAGATGTTCTTATATTTAGAGGAAGAGAAGAGAGTGGTGGTGGGGCTTTAAGACATGATTTATAAATTGTTTTTGTCCAAAAGGAGTGGATAGACATAACACAACTCACCACACTTGAACACTACAACTACGACTCACTCTTACTTCTTACTCACTCCACTTCACCATACACTTCCTAACTAGCTGTTTCATTTATGTATTTCAGCATTTCAGCTTTATTTATACCATATGCTTTTTGGTTCTTTTTTTTCTTTTGTTTTGCAAACGGGTCATTTTCTGGTTGACTATAGGTTATGGTAAATAATTTTCAAACGATAATTTGTCTACGGTAAAATACAAGAAAAGTAAGGTTTTATAGAATTCATGTTTCATATGGTAGATAACCTCCCACTACAGTAGTGTCTTTTAAACTAATTAATAAATTAAAATGAACGTTCTTACAAATACGAGAGCTACTTGTTATATATGATCTTGAGTAGGAATATTGTTCATCTAAAAAAATGTTTTTACTTGTGAATAGTTAAATTATCTACCACTACTCCAAGTGTAAAAATATAGACCATATCACCTTTTAGTCTTTTCCAAAGCATTTTAAAATTAGAGGAATTACTCAAAAGGACTCAAATTTATCTTAAAATGACTAGAATGACTCATATTAAAATTTAAATACTAGACCCAATTAAGATGCAGATAAATTGACAAAAAAACCCTTCTAATTTGCCAAAAAAAAAAAAACATAATTTAAAAAAAAAATAT